GTCTGCAGGGTTGTGTTTGGTCGGCACGTGTCTCCAGGCACAATTCCCTGTTATTTCTAATATGGTAGCAACTCGGTTGCGAACGAACGGCTGAAGTTTACTTGGCAACATTTTTAGCCAACCTAACACAATCGTGGAATCGGTCCAGAATGTTGTACTAGTTACTTTAGCCCGCAGTGAAGTTATCGCCTTTTCATAAAGCTTAGCTCCTACTAAAGCACCACAGAGCTCTAGCCTAGGTATTGTGGTAGGCTTCAGAGGAGCGACCCGACTTTTCGACATTAATAAACGGACTAAACTCTCACCCTGATCACTGCAACTACGAACGTATAAACACGCGCCGTAAGCTCTTTCCGAAGCGTCTGAAAAAATATGTAGTTCGAGTGATGTATAAAGGTCGCAGATGACACGTCGTGGAACCCTTATTTTATTTAACAGTGGGAGACCGCTCAAAATTTCAACCCAACAATTATTTATTGATGGAGGTAGCAAATCGTCCCACGATAGTTTCTGCAGCCATAATCTTTGCAATAAAATTTTAATTAATATGACACAGGGAGATAATAATCCTAAAGGATCAAATATTTGGGCTATTATTGACAGAATGTTACGCTTCGTGCTGCCAGGTGAAATGGAGAAATTAAATGGAAAGCAAAGTTCATCGGTTTGCGTTTGCCAACTTAAACCTAATGTTTTATTTAATTCATCATTTCCTATATTCAAGTCCAAGGATGATGATTCTGACCTAAATACTGGCTCATTTGATTTCCATTTTCTTAAAACCATGCACGCAGAAGCTAACTCATGGGTCACAGCTTGGCGTATCCTTTTTAAATCAACTAAATCATCGCTACCCGTTAGCAGGTCATCCACATAAAAATCATGTAAAATAATATTAGCGATTTTATCATCTTTGCACTCCAGACCTATTTGTTTTAGGCACGTGGTGGCAATGAAAGGAGCACTGGCAGTGCCGTAAGTGACAGTATTTAATTGGTATACTTGAAGCGGCTCTGTAATATCCTTACGCCAAATTATTCTTTGTAAATGCCTGTCATCGGGATGCACAGCTATTTGACGGTACATCTTTTCTACATCAGCTGATAAAATATATTGATGTTGCCGAAAACTAATCAGTAAAGACAAAAGATCGTCTTGCACCGTAGGCCCTATCATCTGTAAATCATTAAATGAAAGACCCGAGGTCGTAGGGCTACTTGCGTTAAATACTACCCTAAGTTTGGTAGTTGAGCTATTCTCTCGCAGTATTCCATGATGAGGAATAAAATAAGATGTGTTCTCTGAATAATTTGAACACTTAGACATATGATTTAAAGATAAATACTCTGACATGAAGTCACAGTATATGTTACGAAGTGAAGATTGATTCTTTAACCTGCGCTCTAAAAACAAAAAGCAACACTTTGCTCTTTGATAAGAATCACCTAATAATTCACTACTTTGTTTTAAAGGGATTCTCACGCAGAACCGGCCGTCAGTAAGACGAGTGGTATTATTAACAAAATGTTCTTCACACAAAAGTTATTCGCGGGAGTAATGACATGATTTAGAGTCAACTTCTTCGAGTTGCCAAAAACGCGTAAGCTGGTTCTGTATGTCATTATTTATACGCTCCGCGTCGGTTAATTCATCTGATATGAGATTGCATTTAAAAGTGTTCGATGATGTCGATACAAATCCGTAATTAATAGGACCGGAGACTAACCAACCGAGTTTAGACTCATAAAGTATCGGCTTCCCATCACCTAAACTTAATCTTTGAGACCCTAATAGGTCCCAAAATATATCAGCACCTAAGATTAAATCTACGGTGGCAGGAGTATAAAAATGAGGATCTGCCAGACAAATGTCACCCGGAATATTTAATGTCAAAAAGTTTACTTGTTGACTAGGGACCTTATCTGTAATCGATGGCAAAATTAAACATTGTATATTCGTATTAAAATTATTATTTAAGGACTTCATTAATACACGACATGTTTTAGTCACCTTACATCCAGTGTTATTAATACCCAATACCGATTTTTCTATGCGTCTAAAGGCAAGATTAAACAAGTTAAAAATTTTTTTCGTCATAAGACATGTTGTACTGCCGCTGTCAAGAACAGCGCGTGCGATGTGCGAGCGATTGTTCGCGTCATATAATTGAACTAACGCAGTAGATAACAACACATCGCGGTGTTCGATACCGGGCGAAGACGCGGTGTTACAGCTGGCCGACAGAGTTACGTTAACCTTGGGGTCGTTCGCACTTGTGGCGGGGAGCTCGGGCTTGTTATTGTCAATTGTGCGTGAAGTCGCATCGCTCGGATGCGATCTATGTATCGGTGAACAGTCACGCTCCGCAATATGAACGAGGGTATTGTGTTTACGCTTGCAAATTTTGCAACCCGATTTTTTTCAGTTATTAGCGTAATGACCTTTCCTCAAACAATTAAAACAAATTTTATAGTTCGGTAACAACTGAAGTCGTGCGTTATTAGTCAATGCGAGAAATTGTGAACAGTTATTTAAATCGTGTTCGCCGTTACACTTCGGACAGCATTTCGATAAATTTGCATTACTCCTTGTGTCTTGTATTGAGACCATACTTTTATATTTATTGTTATTTGGTTTTGAAGAATGACTTGTATAATTTTTAGTGGTACATCGTGATATTTCTAATAATTCAATTAAATCTGCTCTTGACCGCAAGAAATCAACAAACATTTGAAATGAAATGCACTTATCTCTTTCGAAACGACCTTTGAACTCCTCCCATTCACGATATGTAATTGTATCTAATTTACGTGTTATTATATAAATGAGAAGTGTGTCCCAGTGTTGTACAGGCTCGCCTAAAGATTCTAAAGCTCGTATGTTTTTATTCAATTGATCAATTAATCGTTTTAAAGTTACCGATGATTCTTTACTGATCGGATCAATATTAAATAAAGCCGCAATATGATTCTGAATAAGTAAGCGTTTATTATCAAATCTTTCACATAATAGTTTCCATGCAATGGCGTAGTTGCTACTCGAAAATTCAATAGACTGGATTACTAAAGAAGCTGGGCCCTCCAATGACGCTCTTAAATAGTGAAATTTATTTATTTCATCGATTTCTTTATTCTGGTGAATAAGACTTGAAAACGTATCACGGAACTCCAGCCAATTTTCGTACGGCCCAGTAAATTTTGGCAATTGAATGGTAGGTAATTTAACGAGTTTATTATTTTTGTCGGTAGTAGGACAACTATCGCGCGTTTCACATTTTTGGACCTTTTTAAGCAAATCGTTGGCCTTAGAAAGCAAATGAAAATACTGAGATTCAAATTCAGTACGCTCTAATAATTGCTGATCCATATTATTACCGATACATTCTAATTTCAATTGTACCTCATCGTATTGGTCATAAAAGGATTCAAGCTTACCTATACGTAATTGTAACTCATTTACCGCAGCAGAACTCAAAGAAGAAATATCTAACGCGTTTATATAGTTAGCAAAAACAGTTAAGCGTCCTTTGTAACTGCCACGCTTTTTGATAAGTTCCTTTTCTTCGGCCATTTTGAGAAGCTGACGTGCACCAACTGGAATTTATACAATCCAAAATGTAACGATTGTAAATAATGTAATGATATAATAGAGAGTAAAGGTGTATATATTGTAATAATAATAAAAGTCTATTTAAGTTACTGCTAGTTTTATTTTCACTAAGCTACGATTCAACTATATTAAAATTCGTTATGTATATACCTAATTACTGCTTTTAGTACACAAATAGCTATTATAAGTAATATTTAATTATAGCAACAAAAGGCAAATAATGAAAGAGTGAAGTTAAACTACAAGTTAATTAATGGAGCAATTAATTGCCCGAAATACTGTAAATAGTATAAATTAACCTAAACAAAACTTATACTCAAACCTTTTGAAAAACTAAAACTGCATTAAACTAATAGCGGTACTTAATAATATAAAAAATAGGTATTATATAAAATAAAGTCTACTAACCTTATTAATAAGCATTAATTAATCTATATACTACCTGATTATGAGTGTTGGATGGAAATAAAGTAAAACAATTGCTTAACACTTAAACTTTGGTATCAAAATCACTTCATTTCAATGTCCTTCATTTGACCCTTAAGCTTCTTTGTTCTAATTTCAAATTTCCGATTTCCAATTTATATCTCCTTTTTTAAGTAGCCAATGGTTGATAACTTGTATTCCTTATATCCGGTTTCGATCCAGGACCATGTTCGGGAGTATAATCAGGTGGTGAATAAAAATGCTTAGGAAGATGTTAACGACTTCTATTCAAATTGTACACTGACGGTTATAAGAAGGTCAATGACATTTGATTAACAAAATTTTAATTGGGACTTGTTGCTATGACAAATACCGCAGGCGTTTATAAATAAATTAAAATGTGGGATAATTTCTGAACACTCCTTTTACATCGTGTATTGGCAATTTTAAGGCCTGAGGCCATCCTAACTTAGGGAAGATGAAGTGATTAAAGAAATTTATATACTTATTTAGATATATTATTGCAATGATAATTTGAGATACATTGAAACTTTGTGAGTTACAGATGGAAAACACTATAAAGTATACTATAACAATGATTTCAGATCATTTTTAACAATTAATTTTCAACATAAACTTTTTTGGTATGTCTTATAAAACTCCTCGCCCTGTCTGTGTTTGAACGTGACAAACACAAAAACTACTGAACCGATAAAAACAATGGAAGGAGATCACTTGAATCATCGAAATAATAAGTACATTCGTGAAACTCACATTTAGTCAAGTTTTCCGTGTGGCGGAGTTCACTTTTGCTCCTTTTCTTCGCGGTCCAAACATCGTGCGCTCGTCAACAATGTTAGCGAATTGGTCAACAAACGCTAATGTTTTTCTAACGCGCACTGTTACGACGTCGGTCGCAACTGATCGATGTTCGGATCGAAGCGGGTAATAACACGAGCGTAGCAATGTCCGGTGCTACCGTGTTTATATTCCTACTTGAACAACTGCCCGGTAAGTTTGATCCATTTAATAGGACGTTCATCTATGTGTATTACACCGTGCACTGGCTAGTGTTAACGCTGTCTCTTAGATAGCTAGTGGCGAAGTATCCAGTACAAACAGTGCAATCTTTTGTATCGGTAACTGGCTAGTTGCCGATAGCTTACCGTCTGATGGTAAGTTGATTTACGTGTGAAAGCAGTCAAGTTGGGACCGAAACAAATCAATCAGATTATAGTTTTCGTGGTGTAATTAAAATTGATAAGATTTTTGTTTTGGTCTCATAAGATAGGTATTTGAAAATGATTTTAATAACAAAAATTGTAAGTAAAACAATTTTCGTAGACATTTCGTTAATAACCTTTTATTAGCCATGGAAAAGTTAATGGGAACTGTTCGGTTCGATTAAAAATAAAAGTTATTAATTGGAGCCCTTTCCATTATAAGCGAACTCATTTCACATTTTAAACGTTATTAAATCATCTAAAATATTTATATTATTACAATGGACAATGGTCCTCCTTTCTTCTCCTTATTAAAGTACTAAATCATGAATAGCTTGTTTTCCAGGAAGCAGTTCTAATGCAAACAATGTTTTCCTCGCAGGTTTTCAAAATGCCTTAAATTCAACTTTAGTTTCGTTTTATGAAAAAGAACGTATACCATTTGCTAGTGATTTTGTACAGAAATGCGACTCTACGGTTGCTCAGTCAGTTTTGAACGACATCAAACATGATATTGGGCCTGAGATTTACACTAAAAAAGATGAGTTGAGTAAAAACAATCGTTTTAAACATTTCAACAACGCCTACAAAGAATTGTCACCTGAAACTTTGTATAATATCGGTACAGTATTCGACAACTCCATAGAAGACTCTGATAATATCAATTCATTGGAAACAACTAAGAATATTTCCGAAAATAACAAAAATCCTGTTGTAAATCAAGAAAATAAAAGTGAATTCGATGAAGACAACACTATAAACGATTTCAACGAGACAAATACAGAAAACCATGAAAGTGATCAGGTTATGTCTCCTGAGAGCGCACGATTTTTGGTCGCCATCTTTGAAACTCTGTCAAACGTTACCGCACAAACATGCGGAGGCACATTGCTGTCACCGCATTGGGTGCTAACTGCAGCCAGCTGTGTGGATTTATTATCTCATTTGTACAGCAATTGCAGCAGGTGATGTTATACTTCTACTAATCGACTAAAAAATAAATAAGATATAATAAATTGTGAAAAACCGTAACCGTGATAGTTCAGTATCCGGGCGCTCGCCTTTAATTTATTATACTCGACCAACCTGAGTTCGATCCCTGGTGCCGGCACCAATGAAATTATTAATTTTGAGTGCTGACCTATCAGCTGCTCAGCGGTGAAGGAAAATGTCGAGAGGAAACCTGCATATGGGATTATGGTGTAAAAATGTATACATTCTCCCATAAAAGAATTACTTACTCTACACAGTTAGGTCGTGGGTAGAGTTCATTTATGTTTGTTCCTAGTATTTATATCGTGCACATTATCATGTCTTGAAAATTCATTCTTATTTTTATGGACAAACATAACGTTTTCGAGTATGTACTGAGAAGCAAGAGTCAATATTTTAATCTCTTTGAACAAATTTCTTCTTGATTCTTTGGGGCCCAGGTTATAAACCGCTCGAATAGCTCTCTTTTGGTGGATGGAGATTATATTTATATCGGGTTCTCTCTTTTTAATTTCATCAATTCAGAGAATTTAACAATCCTTTTGGCAACTTAAATAACATTTGAAAAGCCATTTGACAGCTGATTAGTTAACTTCTACGATGATAAGTGTTTCAGAAACCGGGCGCAAGTCTGTTACCGTGATTTCGGAGTTAAAACTTTATCAATATCAGAGATATATTCGTGAAGCCTAGAAACCTGATTTTTTGTTTGGTTCAATTCAATATTTTGGCATTTCAGAAATCGGCTCATTACAGCCAATGTTAGTGCGTACACAATTATAGCTGACTCTGTTAACCCTTTCGTTGACGGCTCTGCGCACCACGTCACCGAGTTGACTCTGCTACCTAATGCGTTGGAAGCGGATAAACTGTCAAAGGAAAATGCTCGCGCCAACTTGACCAAGTCTGAGCTGGAAATCCAGTACAAAACGCCTAGCTTAGCCTTAATGAGGATAGAGCCTGCAGCTGCTGCGGGGGCTTTGAAAATATCTCGGAAGAAATCTAAGGGAGACGAAGAAGTTCAGGTGTACGGATGGATTTTGACAAAAGTAAATCTATTTAAGCTTTTTTAAATATGTTGTCGCCATCTAGCGTCCAAAGACCGTAAAGAGGGTAAAAATAGTATTTGCTATTGGGCACTAGATGGCGCATCGTCGGCTCTTGAATCATAATTTGGTGTTACTTGATTATTGAACCAATAACAATAATAGAAATTGAGTTGGTTCTGTCATTGAAAGCAAATTATTTATTTCAGAATGACACGGGCAAAGAAGTAATGAATGCCACATCGTTTCCAGCTAAAACATTACGCTCGGAGGAGTGTAGAGCCTATCCCAGTCTTTCTGATTCAATCCTCTGTCTGACACCACGAAATAATGTCAGTAGCAAAGTAAATCAGGTATTTACTAATTAAATTATTAATTAACAGCGAGACTATAATTAACCTTTCTATATATAATAAGTATTTAAGTTAAATTATCCTTATAAATTTTTTTTATCGGAATTAAAAATACCAATTGAGCAGCGACAGAAATTTACCCCGAAATAAAAAAAAAATACTAAATACTGAAATATTTGTTCGAATAACTACCGATTTTTACTCACTTGGATTTTTCTCAATAATGTGTATTTTTGGCAGTCACTTAAATCAACAGTAAATATATTTATTAACGTAGTTTACACATATAATTTAGTTTATATAACAATGATAGTAACAACAATAAACAGCTGTGGTAGGACCACGCAACAATGTTCACTGTTGCAGGAATGGGTAGGTTCGTCTGGGTAAGTACCACGACCTCACAAAAGACCGGCGTGAAGTGCAAGTATAATACTTTCGCGTTTCGTCTGGTGAGTGAGGCAGCCGGAGCCCAATTTTCAAAAGGCTGTCAACGCATCTGGAACCCTCGGGTGCAGCAGATCTCCATGGGTATGGGCGGTATTTACTTACCATCAGGTGAACCGTCTGCTCACTTGGCAACTTTTCACATAAAAAAAGATCGAATGATGCGCTCTACATATATGGGAGTTGAAAAGTAAAGTAAAGTAACAGCCTATATATGTCACAAGACTTGGTAAAAGCCTCCTCTGTACAGAGGGTATTAAGACGTAGTCCACCACGCGGCCCCACTGCGGATTGGCGGACTTCACAGATCTTCGAAATATTGTTAGAATTTTGAAAAAATGCAGGTTTCCTCATGAAATTTTCCTTCACCGACGAGCATGTGATAAGTCAGCACATAAAATTAACAGTTTCGGTGCCGGCAACTCTCGAAATCAAGTTCCTCGCATATTGAATTTAAGCGAGCGCCGGGCAGTGAGATACCACGGCACAATGGTGGTTGTAACTGAAAAGTATTTTGTTTCGCTTCGCAGATGAATTCTGGCGGGCCAGTGCTGCTGCATCAAGACGGTGAAGTGATGCTGATGGCTGTAGCCCAACTGGATCGCAGCCTTCCGTTGCTCGCGTACCCTCTAGCCGCACATGCCACCATTATCGAAAAAATAGTAGATAGTAAATAGATAAAATACATATTGTATGCCTTTTATTTACGAGATTACTTTACGCATATTGTTATCGTACTCATTTATTAAAATTAAAATCATTTACTTAATTCCTATTAGCTAATTAACGTCGGCTAGACCACTATCAAAACAATAATGAAAGGAGGAATGACAATTTTTAAATAATGTCCATAGTATCACAAATTCACCATTATTCGTAAAAAAATTCTCCTAGGTTTTAACTTAGATAAGTTTCCACGGTCTCAAGTTTCCACGGTAGAGACTAAGTTACTCCCGGCTGTACTTTGATATATTTTTGACATATATATTGGCGGGATGTAAAATCTATATCATTCTATGCTTAATTTCGGGCGTATTGTAAGCAATGGGGTACTTCTTCAATAGTTGGAAAAGCGCGGACGCACCTATTACCAGCCATGGTGGGTTTCTCTTGACTTCACCGTGGGTGACCAAGCCACCGGCTAGTAAGTCCTTCATGTGATGGCTTACCTATCCGAAACAATTCTCTGTGGGTCACACAAATACTAGTCCCGTGTAGGAATCGAACCCACGACCCACGACGCCGAAGCCAATAGCTGAACAACGGCCACTGAGTCATATGACCAGAACAATTACGGCGAAAAATCCAATATAATTTTATATAGAGATAATATTACATTTTAATGTCGCTTGAAAAGCTTATAAAGCATCATTTTTTAAATCTTAACATGTTAATATATGTATGTAAAATTCGAATCCAATTTGCAACATCTGTGTTTTAATCTTAAAACTTTACTTTCGTAGTAGATAATTTACGTCAGACATTTACCAACCGGTTTGTTGAGAAACGACTTCTAATAAAAGAAGCACCCAGTTTCAATGTCAATGTCGTTTGCAAGCTTTCGAATTAATATTCATTAAAAATCTTTCAACGCGTGAAACATGTATTAATAAAACTTTCTTTTCGAATTATACTATTTTTTCGACTTATTTACTCGACTACCGAAGGAAGGTAATGTTTTTCGAACGTATACATACATATGTACGTCTAATTCTCATTAGATTCGTTTCAGTTATAGGAGTGGTATATGGTATGTTATTCCAATATGTTGTCCGCCAAAAACAATAGAGAAATAGTTAGTATTTTTAATGCACTTGGATTTATTATTTCATTTATTTATTTTTCAAACAATCGTCAAATAGAATACGGCAAATGATTTCTCACAGTTTTATTTCCACAGATTGTTTTTTTAAATATCGTCAATCGTTGGTAAAATGTAATGTTGTAAAATTTGTCGTCATGTAATGTAAAACACTAACAACAAGATCAGCTACAATTGTTTTCATGTCCAACCCGCGATACCGCCCGCAGTCTTAGCAACTTTGCTTACTTAACCTCAATTGTGTCTCCATAAAGATATTACAAGAATGAAATCAAAAGTTACGTTTAAAGTTCAAGTTACACATATGTCGATATAAGCCATAAGACTAATGGTACGTCCAAATAAATTCATCCTTAATAATAACTTAATGGACATTTACTTTACGGGAAAGCGTTTAGGAAATTTAACTGTACATTTCTTTAAAGATCTTCTGGATAGGAAATTCAACTGTATATTTGGTCTTCTGGGCGACAATGACTTGAGAACGCTCCAGGAAAGTCTAACAAATTTATAATAAAATGAATTTAGTCTAATCAATCCATTTTAGTTGTCTGTTTCTTCTATTTAACAACAGGAGCTTCTGCTCTACCACGGTTAAAACCGCCAACTCTACTGTAATGCGTTTAGAAAATTTGTTCACGCGTATCATTCTTTAATAACATTCGCTCGATTCATTCTCGTAACAGGGAAACCTTATCGGAACCTCCTTGGCGCTGAAACCTCGTTTTACTCGATTCATTTTAGTCTCTTGACTATAGTCTGTTGCTAGGCACGGATTTCTTTTGGCTTCATTTTATCATGAAATTGTGGATCTTCTTATGATTCGTGCTGTCGAATTATATTTTTCTTAATCATATTAATCCCAATAAATAACAAAGTCGTTTACAACTCTATGGTGTTTATGTAAGTTTATCTGTGGCCGGTGGCGGACAGACCCGCGGCATTTAAATATCTGACAAGAAGACACACTACCTTATAAGAGACCTTGATGTGAAAGTATTTATACTTTTGGTTTTCGTCCGACAAATAACGCTCACGTTCTAAGTGGTTGGCACATGTTAACACGCCCAAAGCATACCTAGCGTTGAGAATGGGCAACGATTGCCATTTACTCTAGAAATAAAACAACACAGAGAAGGGCAGGTATGCTTAAAATACTTTCAAATGCAGTTGTAGAAAGCATGCTGCGTTGTGTTAATACTTTTAAATTTTTTATAGTGCATAACTCTGCACTTAAGAATAAACATTAAAATTTGTAGAAAAAAGGAACGAAAAGTTTCTCGTCGCTGTGGGAATCGAATCCACGTCTTCGGCATTCGCACCCTGTCGCTCAATGGCAATGGCGACATCTCTCGTTCGAATAACGATAATTCGATAGTATCATATAAAATGATCGATATTTGAAATTGTTTGTATGCTGGAAAGGTTATGGATGCCCCAAGCATTGCTTCAAATGCCAAAAAACAATGTAGATAAAAAGACGTCGAGAATTTTTTAGCTTAGTGGCTAGAGCGTCAGGACGCGAATCCCGAAGACGTGGGTTCGATTCCCTCAGCGGCGAGAAACTTTTCGTTCCTTTTTTCTACAAAATTTAATTGTTAGAACCTTACGAGGTGTAGAAGCTTAACAACAAGCGATAACAACCATTAAACGTGAAATTTTATCCATTCGACGGTGAGTAAACGCTAAAACCGCGTGAGATCGAAAGAAATAAAAACTCCTTCATGGATGACGTCGTAAATAACCGTTTCGTTGAGTTACGGCAGTATTGCTATAGAGTAGGTCATTATAATATATATCATATTTAGAAAGTGTAAGCGATGACGTTGTTCACCAGCTGCAATGATTTGTTACGTGGAAATGTCTTTATCTCACATTTACGGTGACAAACTTACCATCTGTCATATTTTTTTTTTATTTGTTAAGTGGAGTCAAATGTGGAGAGCGATAATGAACGATATTTTGCATCTCCAAGTACGGACCTGGTATTTTCTATCTACCCCGTCAGAGTTTTTAGTGTAAGCTTGTATGGCACAATTTTATATTGTCAATAAAACATATATTTGTATATAAAAAAACCATAAACTTTTATATTTGTGCGACGTACGAGGAAAACATTTGATTTTAAAATTCAGGATCCGGCATGAAAATAGCTTTACATTGCATTAACTTTAAAATCAACTTATATATTTATTGTGTACCGACAGCGTAAAACAATAAGTGCCATGAAGCAGAGTTTCGATTAGTCAGCGCTGTTCAAATCGAAAAGGATCAAGATGATGTGTCAATTGGCATAATCACTACGATGACAGACTCGCCGTATGTCGTCACCACCCTATCTTATACATATATCAGGTCTTTGCCGCCAGTTATTGTAAACAGAGCCAAAGAAAGTATAAGAACTTATCAGTGGCATGTACGTACAAGTTGTTTACCCATAAACCTGTTGAAAAGAAAACAAAACATTTCGTTATCTGTAGTCCAGTTGCGTACGATTTCCCTCGTATTTTTGTCACGGCCCTGCGTGTCTCACTGAAAAAAAATCGTGTGATATTAGGGTTGCCAGAAACCGAATGTTTTGTGGCTCTAAGAAACGTTTACATAAAAATACCATTTTGCATTTAATCATGTGTATTTACACATATTTTTTCTTTTATGTTTAACTTGTAGACTAACCTAGATCTTGGATCAAATCTTTGTTTTACGAAATTGCTAATAAAATTTCAGTTTTACAATGGCCAAAAATGAGTACATGTAAGGAGCTTTCTATAGAAATTATCTGTAGATAAACAAATAGTTTTCATGTACATATGCCTATTGGACCTCATCGTCGCCACCAGTATTTTGTCGATTGCTCCGATTGAGCCAAAATCTTATTCAATAATAATCAATGCAATATAAACCAATATAACTAAGCTAACATAAATATCCGAGATCTCATCACAAATGTGTTGGTTTTCGATTTAAATAATAAAGTCTACTCTTAACAAAGACTATGATGTCGTCTCTATTCGTCCTCTGTATTTTCTTTTCCTCAGAAACGTAAATAGTTTCCGGTTTTTATCAACTCAAAAAGAAGTTGCTTGGTACCAACCATCTCTACCAGTAGCGTAAAAGGACTTTACAAATGTTTGTTTGCGGGCTCCAGTTACGAATGGGAATACAAATCGAATTAGTTTCATAGGCTCCATAATTGACGATTTTAAAAGACTGAAAGGTACAGCATTATAACAAACGATTGGACATGCGTGCCTTGGTTCAATTAAGTTCTTAAGGAATATATAACTGTCCTCATACGTCGTCAAATATTTCACAGTCACTGGATAAAGAGATGCGGCGTCCCGTGTCCACTCCGATTGTGGTGGCACCGGGTGAAATTGCGTGACGTCACATACGAAGAAAGTGGCCGCTCGGTCGCCGAGGCGCTCCGGCCCAGAGCGCCTCAGTCGGCGACGAACCGCCGCCACGGACGCGTGTCATGGACGATCACGCGTAGCCATGTCGTTCAGGAGGCTGCTGAGCGCGGTGCGCTCCGCTAGGGAAGCGCTCGCCAGGGGCGCCCCCTTGGCCGACGGCGTACTCAAGTCGCTCATATCGCTCATGGTCATATGCTGTATTGCCGTCACGTCGCCACAGACGGCGTCCGCGAAGCCTTTCGCCTTCAGCTTCCCCGCCGGCTGGTCGCTGGCGGGCCTGGTGGGCACGGTGGGCCCCCGCTCCGAGGAGGCGGAGCGGCGGGAGCCCGCGGCCGGCGTGAAGCCCTACACGGGCCGCCGCGTGGGCAACGACACGCTGCGCATGATCTACCACCACGACCAGACGGTCGCGGTGGTCGAGCTCGGCCCCGGGAAGCTGCTCCTCAACTGCGAGCTCATCGAGACATAGTGAGTACGCCGTTGTATGCCGTTTCAGTTATCAGCCTATAATGGTAGCGTTATTCATTTATTTAGGTATTTGGTCCTGTTAGAGTCGTTAATGCATACACTGTCTGTTCTTCGTTCGACGTGCATTGCGACGGTGCTGAGTAAACACAGACGTAATGCGAAAATTCATATGGTTTACTCATGCTCTGTGTAAATGGCATTATTAACGTACTAATATATCCGATATATATATATTACTTTGGCACAGTACAGTTGGTTGTAAATATTGTAAATAATAGTTTTTTTAATCAATATCGAAGAAATTAGGTAGGTACGAATTAAGATTGGTGTCATTAACTTTTTCGTGTCGTTAAAGAGAAAAGAGAACATTGCGTTCGTAATTTGCATGTACTTTACGGGAATCATTTAATGTTTATTTATTGTATTAGAAAACTCTGATAAGGAATACTCGTTTCGCAATTTTGTTGGGACGTGAGCACAAAGTTTTTATTAGGACTTTATTGAAAAGAAAAACTTTGTGTGTATCTAAATAGGCCATTGTGAGCAATGAACAGTCGCGAAGTGTCAATCTCATAGTCAATTGTGCTTTATTTAAATTATTGCCTAGCGACGTCGATGGCTTTGAGCATTGATTGAAAAATTAAACTCCGTGCGTTCAATGCTTTACAGCGGAAATGGGGGGAAGTCGCGAAAGTAAAAAAAATAATGTTTACGAAACTTACCGTCAACAAAGAACATGAATAATTTACTATTAAAATTGATAAGTATGCAATTTAAAGAAAATTTATTAACGACATCGTTTGTAAATGGCATTGTAATAATTCGGTAATAGCTCTTACTTCATTTCTTAAAAAAGTTAGGTTACGTCTAATACTCCGTTTGATATTTAATAAGCGTCTGAATTAACTTTGTGTTAAATATCGAGTAAATAATAAAATGAAATTGCGTTACCAAATTACATTATAATAAATGACATTAACTTATAAAATTAAATCGAAATTTTACTGATATTTCCGATGATAAAACATTAATCTGAGGCAGAGCTTATAAAATAGTCGATTCTAAAATACAGCTTATAAAATAGAATAATATATTGTTATTGTTTAGGTACTATTTCAAAATTTAATACAAGCTGATATTTTGTTTCTTTCTGACAGTAATATGAGTTGGAAAATATGAACGCGTAACACGGACATTACTCGTGATGCATGTTTCTCATCCGAAGAATACATTTATTGCTTGATCTGCAATGAACGAAGTTTTCTTTTTTTTTTCGTTTCTAAATCTTATATCACACTAGCAACCCGCCGGCATCGCACGGGTGAAATGTATTATACATATAAACCTTTTTTTTTTAATCACTAATAATAAAACCTAATCTAATCTAATAATAAAACCGCATCGAGATCCGTTGCGTAGTTTTAAAGATCTAAGCATACATAGGGACAGACAGACAGCAGGACGAAATTGTTTTATACTATGTAGAGATAACCCGAAGGCACTAGTGTTTTTAAATTTTAACGTAACATTATCAAAGTCGCAAGATGAAGGTGTTTGAGATCCTTGATTGTTGTTGTAGTAATGTTGTAAAGAATTTGGTCGTGAAATAGACGCAAATTGAATATAAATTAGCTACCTTTAGTAATCCGAGACGTTTCTAAGCTGTGAACAACACGTCGTTGCACAAAGACTTGACCAAGGACTGTTAAAATATGGCCCAATCATATTGACGTGTATTAGTCATCTTCGTAGTATACATAGATACGTGTTACTGAAGCATTCTATAATTTTGTAGGGTAAAGACGTTTGCAATAGGTTTCTATTCCTTAGTAATATTTTGTCCAATCAGATTTCCTCGCAATTTAGCTTATCAGGTAAGGCCATTTGTTAAACTACAATTACTTAATAGATTTATTCTTTTTGTAAACAAATTGATACACTCACGAAGAAGTGTTTCTAAGAAATGCTTGCATGGTTTCTATTGTTGCCTTAAGGTCGGGAAATGCAAAAAAAATGTACCAAATAAATAACTCTAATCAACTTAAGAGTTATCGGCAACAGTTAAAGATTATACAACACTATTTAATTAATTTGTTTATAGAGAATTATTTAATTTATAGACTAGACCAGTGATTCCCAAAGTGGTCTATATCGACCCCTAGGGGTCTACAACAACCTGCAAGGGGTCTACATCAGCGAAAAAAAATTTGGGGGTCCATGAAATGAAAATGGGGGTCCACGATAGTGGATCTCTACACTATCTCTATACACTGATAGTACCTATTTACTTACATCATACTATCTTGTAATATCAAAAATATACATTATTTATAAAAGTACCTATGAAGTAAAAAACTTATTATATATGTTTATAAAATTGTGCAAGTTGTAGGATGTTGGTATTCGCTTTGTGGTCGCAATACATTTTGAACTTGTAAAAACCTGAGAGTCGCAGTCTCAGAGCTTCGCTACCTTGCACTGACTTGTTCAATTCGTCACTCTATAAATACGAATGGGGGACAAATGCGTTTATTCGTTTCCTGAATCTTGAAAAGGAAAGTGCTAAGAAAATATTTTTAAAAATATTTATTTTACAACATTAAATAACAGATACAAAATTTTATTTTGAGTAGTTTTAATTTAAATTCAATTAATAAATGTATAAATTAACATGTGTTTTACTTTAAGTTTTTAACACTAAACTTCACTACAGTTAAAACTTTACAGGAAATCAATATCAGATAAGTAGGGGGTCTACCAAACACGGAAAAACATGGCAAGGGGTCTACGACACAAAAAAGTTTGTGGAACTCTGGACTAGACAGTTTGAAGTCTCACCAAATATTCAGATGATTTTAGTGTGCATACTGCATAAAGCTGGGAATTCATGCCAAAATATATCCATTCCGGATACCGTATATGGCTATAATATGATAATGTATTAATTTAATATTGAGTTCTCTTTAATTGTGTTAATAATGCGTTGCAGTATAAGGGTGGAAATAAAAATTGTATAATACTAAAAACTGTGTACAACTGCTGATAGTTAGCTATCAGCTAACTATCCAGTGTAAGTTAATTATGTAGATTAAAGAAGCATTTTTAGTATCAACTAAAGCATCAATACATTAATTAGGTCAGCCATAAGCTCCTTTTGCGTCCATAGAATAAAAATAAATAAAATAATTGACAGTAGCCCTAGTTAACTGTGACCATTGTAGAAATGAACCAGTCAGTTATCAAATGACAAAAAAATGACTTGTCAAATCCTATTTGAGCTGCCAAATTCTGATCATTAAGTCTTCTTAATCTCATTTAATTAAATAATGAATAAATAAAAGAAAATAATAAATAATTAAATAAAAGAAATGATCAGTGTTTCAGAAACTGGGCGAAGACGTGAAACAACTCAGTTTGTCCCGTAATCATGAACGCTGGAAAAGGTACGAAACGACGGGAATTTAAAAATCTAATTAAGCGTTTAAAATCCGTAAAACAGTTTCATTTCACAAAAAATAAGAGAATCCTATTGCAATTGTTACATATACTGAAATTACAAAACTACATAAGCTGAAATTTACATGTCCTTACGAAGGTAACAAATATCTCTTTTGTTTTTTGAGGTTGAATTTGTTACCCGACTGCGCCAGAAGGAGGGTGATGTTTTTCGAGAGTATGTATGTATAATTGCTTGGCACTTGGGTGTCGTTACATTCGTATTTACTGTGAGAGTGACACTGGGTATATCAAAATAAAAAAAATGCACAGAAACACAGTTGTTTTGCACAACGGCGTTCACTTGTAAAACGAACTCGCGACCTTCAGTGAGCAAACCAATCACTGAGCTGAACCGTTTATTGATGACGGAGTTGCGTGTCCCTTATGCATCGCTTTTGCATATGCCTAATACAGCGCGAATATCGTTTTATCTTTTTGATACAGAACCCTAAAAATAGCTTTTTAAAGGAAGCAAGGGACGGTTATATCATAACCAACACCACTGGAATAATAGTAGATAGACTTGTAACAGTAGGTTTATTTATGGTTTAATCGATAGTCGATATTACGCCGAGTCTATCATTACGGTCTACCCTTGACACTTTGACTAACAAAGTACGAGCACGTCCCAACGTGTTGTTTACATTTTGGAATTGCTATGGTTTTTGGTTTTTTAAAATCGATATTCATTGATTACATTGTGTGCGCAGTGGGTAGAGTTGAAAACGCGAGGGCTCATTCTGTTTGTTGAATTTAATCGCAGGTAGATTGATTCACGGGACTTCATCCTAGAATTAGTCCATTTCCAAAAACGAACTCTTATTTTTTTTTCTTAGTCTTCCAAAGAGGTAATGATTATTAATAGTTTCATTTCAGTTTTGATCTCCCGCTTAGACCTTTTTACAACTTCCATTGAATAATAATTTCTTGTATTTACGAAATTTACGACTTTTTCCATTGAATAGTTGTATTAAGCGTCGAATTTTGAATATTTAAGGCTTGATGAATAAAATCTAAAAATGTAACTCTAAAAGTCAGGGAATTATATTTTTACCAATGAAATTAATATCACTAAATGAAAATCCATCTCTAAAGCTTCAAACCATACAGAAAAAAATTTCATCAACTACTTTATTACGCGAAATCGAGTTAACTACACAAACGACGTAAATATGTAAAGATATGTAGGGAATGTTACGTTACAATCCGTAAATGAACATTACTCGTAGACTGTTTTTTTTTTTTCAATTGCAACTTTTTAATTAATCGGTTATTAGTCTTGTTTTTCACTTACTTACTCATCGATACAACGATAATTAGATAGCTACATTAATTATACCGATACCTTAATTGGCAAACCAGCTAACTCCACCTTTGGTCAAAAATATTTTTTGGCTTTGTTTGTACGCAATAATAATTCCGCTTGATTTGCAAAAACAGTAACTCCGATATAATCACTATTTCTTTCTATAAATCGGTATTCGCAAATCAGCCAACTTTCC